CGAGCCCTTTGATCCAAAGCCAAAAGCCATTGCCGATGGTATGATTGTCCAACCACGCGAGCTCTTTTTCGATGTGAATACAATTGAAAAAGGTAAGATCTCAATTTTTAAAGTACTGGTTCTCGGGCATGACCACGTCGTAACGATAAAGTATTTTTCATTTTAGCTGCTGTGTCGAAGAAGTTGGTCCAAGAGATTTGCGCAAAGCATCAACCAAATAATATGAATATCTTTGTAAAGACATTCACGGGCAGGACCGAGTGTCTCATGCTAAATGGTGATTACACTGTCGAAACGTTGTTGGCTCGTTTGGGCAGGTTCACCCATTTTCACCCCGTTCACCCATTGGCGGCCTGCTTCAGCTGCTTGTCTAACTCGAAGAGTGTTTTTTAAGCTAATCGCTATGCAATCGTACCAATTTTGTTAAACTAATCGGAACATCTGTATTTATTTAAAGGGGACTTCAAGTTTTCAAATGATGTATAACATTTGGTACATTACGAGTGAGATTTGTATAGTATCTGTATATGCCTCCGTAATTCTGTGCCACCCTGTACAATAGTACAATACAAAATATGGGAATAGGGGCGATAAAAGATGAGTCCGAAGTTTGGACCCCGGACTCTCGAGTAGGCGAATGCCACCAAAGAACACGCCTTAAACTAAGCCTTTAGTTGGGAGTTTTAGCCTGAAAAATCTTTGGGTACTAGTCTAGTTGGAGAGGGGCACAATTGTTTCTTCAAAACCACTATCTCTGGGGTAGTTTTATGCGTTGACTCCGAAAAACATAACGAGAGCTTGAGAAAAGGCGTTTGAAGCGAAGTTTCGAGGATCCAAAGTGCGTGCTTCTATAGAACTATATGGAGCCCAAGCTTCACCATACGGAACCATATGGAGCCTAAGCCATCGACTATTGAAACACTTTTCAAGGTCAAAACTAGAGGCAAAACCATTTTTAGCCACTAAATATTCATTTTCTAACTTAAATTGATTGGTAGAAGCAAAAGAAATTGATAAACATTTTTTGAGATTTTGACACGTGTGGGGGGCCACATGGTCGAAATTTGAAAAAAATTTTTTTGTTTTAATTTAATCAGAAACGTAATCAATAGCTTAAATTATGCCAGAAGAAGTGTTTTTGACTTCAAAAAAATGTTTTGAGAGACCATTTTTAGACCGCTGAATGGCTGGAAAATTCTAACACTTTCACCGTGAATCACCAGGTAAGTTTTTAATACAGGGTGCGGCAAAAGTTCTGACACTTTTTCTAAGAGAAATAAAATTTGCAAACTTTGGCAATATTGATCAAAAAACGATAACAAATTGTTTATTGAAGATAAAACTAACAAAAAATCATAACAAATGTTCAAAATTTCCACCCTTGGCCTCGATGCACTTCTTCAATCGCTTGCGGAAGTTGCCGACGATGGTCGCGCATTGTTGAACAGTGATTTCAGCCCAGGCCCTCTTCAAAGCAGCTTTCAAAGAATCCACGGAGTGAAATCTCTTGTCAGAGATCTTGTCTTCCAAGATCGACCAAACGGAGAAGTCCAGAGGATTCAAATCGGGGCTATTCGACGGCCAAATGTCCTTACCCCAGTAGCCCGGAAACAGCTGATTGCAGAGAGCGAGAGTCGAGCCGGCTCCATGGGCCGCTCTTGATATGCTCTTGAACTCTGCTAGTCCTTTTTGGATAAGTAGGTTCACCTTCAATTTTTCTAGTTCTTTTTTTGCTCGATATTTGACGACCCAAGACGATATTTCAAAGAAAATAAAGATTTGAAAAAGTTTTAACAGTTAGAAAAAGACACATTGCAAATCCACAACAAAAGAAATTTGAAAGTTTTCCAAAACCTGGCTTTTTTTTAAATAGACAGCTTTTCGGAATATTCAGTTGCTTTTGCAAGTATAAATTCGATCAACTTTTTATCGGGAAGCAATTGTTCAATTGAATATTTTGAGTTGTACAGGAAATTTTCGTCGGAAGGGGAATCATTTGTCATTTCATTCTTCAACTTCCGAAATCAGCAATTTTTTTCAATTTATGTGTTGCATTAGCGTTTTTAGCTCGCCATAAACAATTTTAGGGGGTGGCTACTTTATCTTGATGATTTTGGTGTCACTTTGTAGATCTCAACAAGTGTACAAAATGACACCAACCAGAATCATAAAGATTGGCCGACTTAGAAGAAGGTTATGGCGGGTTGCGCAATGGACCTAGTTGCGCAAAAAATTTGGCGCAAAGTAGCCACCCCCCCCCGCCCCAATTTCCGCCGCGCTATGGCTTTTTAAAATAGTTCTAGCGCACTTTGCACAGTTATAAGCCTATAAATTGCAGGAAACCTTGTAAAATCCCAGACCACCGCCGGTTATGGAAGTTGACTTGCTCCTTGTGTCATTCTAGAGAAATTCGCGCTAGGATTGCTTAGCAACACTACGATGTCAACGCTGGCACGTTATGAATAGCTCCTAGATGGCGTTTGAATCGTATTTTTTAACTTTCGTTTCTTGATTTGTGTCCTACTACAGCTCGCATAATTTGTTTGTTGTTCGTTAGCTCCACTTCTCGAAATCGAGGAGCGTATCCAATATCAGTTGTTTCATGGTTTAACGATTTTTCGATTAATCTTTAAGTAATTGGAATTTACGGAGGGTGGCAATTCAAATAAGCGCTTGAGAAAGTTTTTAGGTGGTGTGAAAAAAGTATTTGTAAAATTATATTCTTAATATACCCTTTGAATTGTTAGCAGACTTCTTTTTTATGCTTTGAAACCTATCAAACAGAAATTTCAACTGATTTTCTTTCAGTGATCTACCTTCTCGGAATCGGTGACTGGCTTCAATATGTTGTCCCTTTCTATCAATGGTGAACTTATTTCATGTTTTGTTGACTAAATTTCTTTGTTTAGATAAAGCTCTCCTTGCTGGCATCAACTGTCACATGCGTCATCTCAACAATGATACTCTCGATTCAGATCTCGGTTCCGATTTCGATTCGGATTCTCAAAGGATTGTCGAACCACGCGACTTCTTTTTCAATGTGAATACGATCCAGCAAACGGTTGAGAAGGGTAAGGTTAATTTTTTAAGTGCACAAACATTTTTTGTGGTAAAAACAGTTCGAAATTTGAAACGTCTGAGTTAGGGCTGCTATTAAATACCCAGTTTGTTTGTACAGCCAATTTTCTGGCAAAGTGTTTGCCTTAAGATTATCTTTAAGGTATTGAAGCCCGCTTTCGTGGTGCTGCTCGACGTTTGCCGATTGATGCCGGGACGTCGGCAAGGAAGATGCAGCGCTTACAAGACGCACCCAGGATTCTTTGCCGAAAAGTTCAATTACGATTTCACGAAGATTTTGACCGATCAGCAACCATTCTCTCGTGGTGGAGCTCATTACATTCGCCCACTTGGGTCAATGCGTTACGCTCTCGATGTTCTTGACAAATATGGGGACAATGCCTGGCTCGGAGACTTTGGAGGAGAGCGGTAATTTTTCCTGTTTTATTCCTGAACGACGGATCCGCGTGCTGCATCAATGGTTACTAGTGGTGGACTTGATTTGTTTTGGGGGTTACATTTGCTTGAGTTTATTATTTGCAGAAAAAAGGCCATCGTTTCATGTATGGACACGGTATCTACTGCACTGGCTTATGCATCCCCTTACAAACACAATGGAAAATGGTACAAGTTGATCGTTCTGGTGAGATTGGTATACTGGGCCTTTAATCTCAGATGTATATTGATTTTAATTACCTAAGTGACCAGAATTCTGCCCCAAATGAATGGCTAGTCGCTTACCGTGGAACAAAAGATCCACGTGCTGCTGAAATTGTTCGAAGTGTTGGACTTGATTTGGTTTGTCACATTTGAGTTTATCTAACTTGTATTTCTTTTAGGCAGAAGGGGACGCTTTGCTTATGCTTACGGCATCTACGGCTCTGCTACTACTACTGCTAGTTAAAAGCTTTTATTGAAATGATAATATCATTTAAGGCATTCAACTTTATCTATTCGACTCCTCAACTTTTCCATCTGGCGCCTTGCCCGAGCCATCGATTACCAAAATTCGATTCAAAGACAGACACAGTCGGGATGAGTTTTGCCGAATTTAAGGTGGGGTTTTCGAAGAAACACATTTGATTTTATTTCATCTGATTTCTAGTAATCCGAACTAAACCGATTCGGGCAATGGATAGTGACGATTTTGTCGACGACTGGCCTTCTATTAAAGGAAGATTTCAACAACGATGGAGAAAAGTAAGGAATAAGCCTTTATAGTAATATATAGTAAAGCTCAACGATTTTTTTTTAGATGGATTCGGGTCAACAACTTCACGGTGATCAACTTGGTGCTGAAGTTTGTTGGACCAGTGCGCGAGGGTGAGTTTTGTTGACGGAAAGTTAATAGACAAAGCGAATAAAAGTAATTTCTATGATTTCAGGCACTCTCACCAAATTGCTGCTGTTGTTACAAGTATTCTCGTCGATTCTCGCTTTCATAATTCGCTTCTTTTTGGCTCGAATACTGTACGATGTTGTTTTCTAAGTAATTTGGATGAGATTTCTGTTGTTTCTGGGAATTTTAGGTGAATCGAACATTTTATAAAAGTTTATATGTGATTTTATGGTAATCTCTTTTGTTTATTTTATTAGTGTTTTAGATTATCGTGATTGTCGATCATAATGTTTCATAATATGTTCTTTTATTGTTATTGTTGGAGTTTACGCGATATTTTATTTGATTCTGCTAAAGTGTTCTTAATGGTCTTGATGGAGGATTTTAATCCCAATATTGGAGTTTTTGCGGAGGTGGCAAGCCAAATAAGTGGCTGAAAGAGTTTTTGGGTGTTGTAAAAAGGTATTCGTACAATTGCGTTCTTAATGTTCTTTTTTAAATTATTAGCTGCTTGTTCTTTGATGCATTGATAGCCATCAGACAGAAATTTCAACTGTTTTCCTTTCAGTGATCTACCTCCTTGAAATCGGTAGCTGTTTTCAATATGCCAACGCTCTCGATTGCAGGTGAACTCATTTGAAGTTTTGATATTGACAATTTTTTGTTTAGATGAAGCTCTCCGTGTTGGTATCAACTATCATATGTGTCGCCTCAAAAACGAGGCCTTTGATCCAGATCCAGAAGTCATTGCCGCTGGTAGGATTGTCCAACCACGCGAGCTCTTTTTCGATGTGAATACAATTGAAAAAGGTAAGATCTCAATTTTTAAAGTACTGGTTTTCGGGCATGACCACGTGGTAACGATAAAGTATTTTTCATTTTAGCTGCTGTGTCGGAGAAAGTCGGTCCAAGAGATTCGCGCAAAGCATCAACCAAATAATATGACTATCTTTGTAAAGACAGTGACGGGAAAGACAATCAGATTCGAGCTAAATGGTGATTACACTATCGAAGAGCTGAGTACGCTTATTCAAGACAAAGAAGGAATTCCTTCCGATCGACAAGGTTTATTTTATGGGCAGCAATTGAAGGATGGAAGGACTTTGAGTGAATACAATATCCAAAATGAATCTACTATTCATTTGGTGCTGAGACCTCGAGGAGGAGGATGTACCGCTTGTCAAATGCACAAGGAATGCTTTGCTGAAGAGTTCAATTACGATTTCACGAAGATTTTGATCGATCAGCGACCATTCTCTCGTGGTGGGGCTCTCTACACTCGTCCACTTGGATCAAAGCGTTATGCTCTCGCGGTTCTTGACAAATATGGGGACAATGTTTGGCTTGGAACTCTTCGGTAATTTGTCTCCTGTTTGATTTTGTTAACTACAGGTTTAGCCAAAGTGCGAACAGCTCTATTGATGGCGAATGGCCAGTTGCTTATCATGGAACAACGGATCCGCGTGCTGCTGAAATTGTTCGTAGTGGTGGACTTGAGTTATTTATTCAAAAGTTGTTGGTTTGTTATTTTGGCTTTTGAATAAATAGTGGGTAATCGTGGATCCTTTTTACAAAATATTCTTCTAGGGGAAAGGAACGCGTTTTGCTTTTGGTCATGGCATTTACTGCACTCCTGATCCAAAGACTGCACTAGCTTATGCATCGACTTACCAACACGATGGAAAAACTTACAAGTTGATTGTTCAGGTGGGATTTGTTGCATACTTCTTAGTCGTACACATACAAACGATAAATAACAACACAAAATTATTTCTTGGAAATACTTTATTAGTTTTGTTTCAGGCTCGTGTCGATCCATCTCGTCGTGAAATTGTGCCCAAGTCGAAACACGGTCGTGCCAATCTTGATGACTACTGGATTGCCAAGGAAAATGACGCCATTCGTCCATACGGAATTTGTGTCTTTCCTTGGCCTTTTCCAGCAAAAAAGGGTAGCACTTGTCCTATTTCCACATTTCTTTTCAAATTGCGGATAAAAAACTGAAGCTTTATAATCGTTTTTCGCCTCAATACAAAAGGGGGAAGTAGCAGCTGTTTAGCTGAATAGCATTACCGTAGTCACCAAAATTCATTGTCATTTTCACTTCATAATTTCACATAGTTGCGGTGCTTGTTATTTTCGTTTGCACATATTAAACTTTATCATTTTGTTCGATCGTCGAAATAAAGCGTTAATTTCATTAAAAAAAGGTGGATTAACTCAAAAGTTGGCTAATGTAATTTTGAAATGGATAAAAATGCCTCAAGGTGTCATATCCAAAGAAAGCACTTTGAAATGGTCAAGAAAATGCGAATAGCATTTGAGAATTGATTGAGCGGATAAAAGCGGATTTTTTTCAGATTCGGATTCAAATTTGTTACTCATCGAATCAGTGTCCCATTCAGCCATTGTTCTACCCCAATTCTCAATCCTTCGACTCCTAAATGAAACTCGAGTCTTTTCCAAATTAAACTACGAGAATTTAATCGATTTGTTGAAAGTAAAGAAACAGCTTCGAAATGATCGAAGAGATCGTGACTGAAAAATTTGACAACATTTGCGCAATTCTCGATTGAAGACATTGATTGAAGATGATTGACATTGATTGAAGACGCAATTCTGTTACCCGGAACTTCTTCATTTTCTTGAGAACTTTAAACTAAGAAAAGTGCAACTTTTAAAAGGTTGCAATGTTGAAAGTGTTGCGTTGCTTGTATTGGGTTGGGGAGAATGAGTCGGCGCCGAAAATGAAAAAAATGTCTAAAACTTCTATTCGACTTCGTCAAATAATATGCGTTTGATATGAGTAGAATGGTTAACTAATTCTCTACAAAATGACATTTAAAAGAAAATTCAAACAACGCCTCCGCTCAAGAAAAAGCCATTTTTTCACAAAAACTACAAACTGTCATCTAGAAAAAGCCATTGGTGGGATCTTCCTGCAAATTTGGCAACTTAAGTAATTGAATGTGCTCTATCTTTTTTATATAAACACCAAAGAAGGTTTATGTGAAAGAAACTGTTCAAATGATGAGTCGGACTCTTTGCCATTTTAACCAGCTGCGTTTCGAAGTTCATAAACTCCACGAAAGAAAAGCTTTGTGGAATCTCTCAAAAGTGATTTTGTAGAGAAATAGTGGATCCTTTTGATGAAACCAAACGTATGTTTAAAGAAGGCTTTATGTGTGCAAAAAGTCCCTTTAAAGTTTCGCGCCGACTCATTCTCCCCAACCCAATAGCTATATAGCTATATAACTTTTCTATTGACACCAAAATGGGTTTCTTTTGAAGAAAGTGCTCAAACTGGGACATCTCCAGTCCTCCATTTTTAAGTCTCACACTTGTCTCACACACAAACCAAAATCCTACTACGAAATAAGAATCCGCAAATTGCCTGTAAAATGGGCAGAAGTCGTCAATAATAATGGAAATTATTTGGAATGAATTCATGGTTTTATGTTCAATAAATTTGCCTTTCTTTTGTCCGCCGAGTCATAGAAATGAGCGTTTTCGTTAAAAGTTTATTTTATTATAAAAACAAGATAACAATGCATTAATCCAAAAGGTATATTATATATGTGCAAGATGAGAATAACGAATCCGATAACAGTAAAAAGTAAAAAGGGTGATAAGTATGTACATGCAGAAGAGAATAACAAAATGAAACTTAACAAATGAGAGAGCCTTAGACAATTTCATTGAAGCTTTCCATATAAAGTTCGACGGGCTATGGCTTTTAAAAATAGTTCTAGCGCACTTTGGACAGTTATAAGCCTATAAATTGCAGGAAACCTTGTAAAAACCCAGACCACCGCCGGTTATGGAAGTTGACTTGCTCCTTGTGTCATTCTAGAGAAATTCGCGCTAGGATTGCTTAGCAACACTACGATGTCACGTTTGAGTAATAATATGAAAAAGACTCTTCATCAAAAATAAATGGTGTAGGAGACTCTCGTAAATCTTTCCAACCATCTGGATAAACTGCTTCGGACGCATCGTCATCCTCTTCCTTGGATTCGCTTGAACTTGATGACAATACTTCTGGTTGAATTAGTCGATCATCTGATCCATCAATAGACTCCAAATCACTGTCAATAACTAAATTATTGAAAGAATCGCTCAATTCGTCATCCATAACGCTATCTAAAAGAAGAATAACTTAGGTTAATATATAGAAATTATCAGAAATATTGGGTTGGGGACTATGACTCGGCGGACAAAAGAAAGGCAAATTTATTGAACATAAAACCATGAATTCATTCCAAATAATTTCCATTATTATTGACGACTTCTGCCCATTTTACAGGCAATTTGCGGATTCCTCTTTCGCAGTAGGATTTTGGTTTGTGTGTGAGACAAGTGTGAGACTCAAAAATGGAGGACTGGAGATGTCCCAGTTTGAGCACGACCTTCAAAAGAAACCCATTTTGGTGTTAATAGAAAAGTTATAGAGAATCAAAAATTAGGCTTATAGCCAAATTTGCAAAAAGATACACTTAGTAGTTTCGCTTAAAATGCAAGTTATGTGCAAATTCGTAAATTTGGCATTTCTTGAAAACCAGTTTTTGAATCGTTCTAAGAATTTGGATATAAGCTTGATTTTTGATTCTCTACAACTTTTCCATTGACACCAAAATGGGTTTCTTTTGAAGAAAGTGCTCAAACTGTCTCATATGACATTTTGTCCGCCGAGTCATAGTCCCCAACCCAATAATATAAAATAAAACGTCAGCAAAAAAATAATTTGATATATAATTTGTTTATGTTTACTTTGTTCTTTTACAAGAAAGAGTGTTTAGAAAATGTCGGACCAAAAATTTCGCTTGCGGGCCTGCTTGTGGTATGAATTTAAGCAAGGCAAATCGGCTGCTGAAGCTCATCGCGCTCTATCTCAAGTGTTTGACGAAGATGCTCTATCCGAAATTCAGTGTAAACGATGGTTCCAGCGCTTCCGAGACGGCGACGAAAGCTTGGAAGACCAAAAACACGGGAGTCGACCTCAAATCATCGACAACGACGCATTGAAGGAAGCCATTGATCAGGCCATTGATTCTCTGCGTGAACGTTGGCGACAAGTCATTGATGCAGATGGCGAATACCTTTTGGATTAATGCATTGTTATCTTGTTTTTATAATAAAATAAACTTTTAACGAAAACGCTCATTTCTTTTTTACCAACCTGATAAAATTGAATCCTTTAAAGCGTTAAACCTTCATAAACTCCAAGTTGCACTCCAGTTTGCATTTTTGCAAAGTTTGAGCAAGATGCAAACTGGAGTGCAATTTGGAGTTTATGAAGGTTTAACGCTTTAAAGGATTCAATTTTATCAGGTTTATCAGGTATAAGGAGTACGGGTTGATTTTCAGTCTTGCGTCAAGCGGCCGACTGCGAACAGGCGTTCCACATGTTGAATGTATTAGGTTGATGCATAAGTCTTTTCGTTTTTTTCGTACTTCCGCTTAAAACCAACAAATGCACCAATTGAACTACGGTTGATTTCATTAGAAAAAGCAATTATTTTTCTGCAAAATAACATTAAAACGGGTTTAAAAATATTTAATGCCTGGATTTTCTTGAGAGTATGAAGTCGGGTAGTCAAAAAGGGCTAACTCGATGATGCGGTTTAGACACCTTAGCTAAAGAAAACCTATCTTCGTGTCAATAGATAAAAGATAGAGAAAAAAAACGTTTGATATTTCGCCAAAATTTCAGAGAAATTCATTCAGCCAATTTTTCCGTAGAGTTTTTTATAGATTTTTACGAAAAAGGCGTTTTTCACTCTCGAATTTGCTTGAAAGTGAACCGAAATTCATTTAAAAAAGATGCAAATTGAACAAAAAAACACTTTTTTTATAGAGCAAACTATAGATTAATTCGTGAATTTGTTACTTTTTAACAGAAGTACGAAAAAAACGAAAAGACTTATGCATCAACCTAATAGAAATAAAATATTTTTAGAAAGTTTCAAGATCTTTTGCAATTCATTGAAGCAAAATGGCTTGAAAGCGAAAGAAATTTGTATCTTTAGAAAACTTTAAAAATGCATTTGTATATTAAAATTACAGATCAAGATATCCGTAAATCCAAGTGCGATCATCGGAAAGCTTGCTGAAAAGTTTGGACTCGTTAAAAACAAGCAGCAGACGAAATAAAATTGGTTGGCGTTTTACGGGGAATTTTACAAAATGCCGAATCGAATTCTTTGTTAATCGATGAAGATTTTTACGAAGATGAGAGCGATGAGATGGATTTGGCTTGAGAGAAATGAATAAAGTGGAAGGTTTACCCATCAAAGCTGCAGCGATTACCTACAGCAATGTCTGTTTTGTGCGACAAGCGGATCGAGGGGTACAGTAGAACCGTTGAGGGTAGGCCAATCGACGTCGGCCGATAAGCCAACATAGATATGCTCCACCAACACACAAAACGCTTTACCTTTAGGCTTCTAGCAGACGGCGCAAATGCGCCTCTATAACAAAAAAGGATAGAGCTTGCGTTTTTGATCATAAATACGAATTAAAAATGTGATCTCCAGGATCAGCGCCACCCTAGAAAAAAGAAAAAAAAAGAAAAAAAATCGTGCCCCCCCATTTTATTAGGGTTGGCCATAAGTTCATGCAGTTCTTAAATTTGCAATTTCTTAAAAACCCGCCAACAGTTTCATCTGAAATTTCTACTGAATAATCTATAATTATATGCTAACTAGTAGCCAAAATTTTATGACTATTGCTTGGTTCAATCGAGAGAGTGAGATATCACTTTATATGACAAAAACTTCTTTATTTACGAAAAATAAAAGAAAATGCAAAAAAAAATCTTGGTACCTTTTCAAACGTTATTTATTTCTAACGAAATTCAGTATCGAGTTGGGCCTCCTTTAGCTTTTATAATCTCCTGAAGTCGGTTTGGCATACTTGCGACCAATCTTTCCGTGGTTCATTGTGAAATTGAGCTCCAAATAGAGTGAACCTTGTACTAAAGCTCATTTTTTGACGCAAAGCAGAATCCTCGCAATTTTCGTTTGACATGTACCCATAATTTAATCTTTACTTTTCTCCATCGTTGTCGAAATCTTCTCCGGAAGGCCAATCGTCGACAAAATCGTCACTATCCATTGCCCGAATCGGTTTAGTTCGGATTTCTACAAAATCAAATGAAATAAAATCAAATGTGTTTATTCGAAAACCCACCTTGAATTCGGCAAAACTCATCCCGACTGTGTCTGTCTTTGAATCGAATTTGGGTAATCGATGTCTCGGGCAAGGTACAAGATGGAAAAGTTGAGGAGTCGAATAGATAAAATTGAATGCCTTAAATGATATTATCGTTGCAATAAAAGCTTTTAACTAACCTGTGGAATAAAGAAAAGCATCGCCGTTTTTGAGAAATGTCCGAGAATTGCCACTACAGCCAACGTCATGCCCGCCCAATAACAGTACGTGTCACCAACGAAAACGCGAGCCGGATACTAAAAGTCAATGAATGAAGGTAAACCTGATAAAATTACCTACCTTATTGAAGTTATAGAGGAACCATGATGTTGTGATGAATGGTAACAAAAAGTAGATTGACAACCAATTGTACCAACATTCGATCGGATCTTGAAGGCGATATAGCTAAATAAGTGATTGTAAATTATTGAAACACACCAACAAACCTGTATGACATTGTATAAAGTGGTTGATGACGCAATGACGAGACTTTGACCGACCTAAATGAAAATGAGCATGAAATTTCACGTAAACATCAACCTCCAATTCGTTGATTCCTGGGTAAATAATGATCGAATTTGTGCAGAAGACGATCACCATTCCCATGAAAACGTAGTAGAACAAATTGATATCAAGAGAATTTGTTACCTAAACAAAATATTGCTGATCATAAAAAGTTAAAACTTTACCTCAAATCCCAGCAACGAAATAAAGTAACGAGCGATCTCCGGCACAACAATCGTCGTCGAGCTGTCTAAAAAAGAAACCAAAATGTTACTTAAAATAAAGCACATAGTAAACCATCAAAACCAACAATGATGAGAAATGTTGAGGGAAAAGCAACTTTTGACGCCATCTAAAAGAAATCAATTAATCATAAAATCCCACTGAAATTAGCCGTTAACATTTACAAGCTCGTCGTTAATCGATTTACCTATCTGACAACCTAATTAGCATTTAACACCGCAAATATAAAATGGTTCTCCATAAAAATCATTTTATTAGCCATTTTTGCCGAGTTTGCTTGCTAACACACGATTCCTACAAAGTTGGTTCTTTCTCGTTCTTATTTGAAACCTATTTTTGTTTGGTTATAATGTTAGTCTTTCTTGTACCATCTATCACATCATTGCACATCGAAGCGTCAGAAGTTTTCTTTAGATGCTAAGCACCTAATCTCTATAGTAATTCTTTTTTCAGCAGAGTCGCAAAATGTGGACGATCTTTGTGTGCGTGGCCGCAATCTCTCATTCAATCATCAAATATGGCGGCGATACGCGCAAGAAGGAATCACCATCCAACAAATCACAGCCACCACCGGTAATTGGTTCAATTTTACTTTGAAATCTATGAGTAGCCGCATGCTGTGAGTAGCTGACCCAAATAATGCAATCTATTATTACGCATCACTGTCTTGTTTTAGCCAACAGCAAAGGCAAAACCAGCGGTACCAGAACCGGAAGAAGACGCCGACCGAGCAGGGTGAGTTAATTTAACGTTTAAACTTGTATTTCTTGTAACTTTGCTTGTCTTCTCCTTTTCATTCCACAATTCTTCTTTTCAGATAGGAGCAATGTCCAGCACATGACACCCGAAGAATTGGTAAGAGTAGTCTTTGGATCAGGAGAGCAGATGCCGTAAGCATAAGCAAAGCGTACCCCTTTTGACTACAAGAAATACAAGTCAGATACACCCAAATGTGACAAACCAAATCAAGTCCGCCACCTCGAACAATCTCCGCTGCACGTGGATCTGTTGTTCCCTGGTAAGCGGCTAGCCCTTCATTTGGGGCAGAATTCTGGTCACTTAGCCAATTAAAATCAATATACATCTTAGATATTTCAGTGGATTTCCTTTCAGCTTCACCACTACAATTAGCGCCTTTTGTATAATAGCATATACTTTATCCATCAAATAAAGTGATCCAATAAATGTCACAGGAGAATAATTGAAAGTTAAGCTTGCAAAATCACAATGTATGCAAAAATTGTGCAATGTCAGAGATCAAAAAGGAGTTTCTACTTCACACGGAAAGACACAGATTCCATATGGACGAATGGCATCATTTTTCTTGATAATCCAGTAATCATCAAGGCCGGTACAACCGTGTTGAGACTTGGGCACAATTTCACGACGAGATGGATCGACACGAGACTGAAAAAAAAGACTATTTCCAACAAATCAGTTACCTAATGACTATTAAAGTCACAGTATACAAATCTCACCTGAAGGATCAACTTGTACCATTTGCCATTGTGTTTGTAGGGAGATGCATAAGCGAGTGCAGTCTTTGGGTCAGGTGTGCAGTAGATACCGTGTCCATACAAGAAACGATGGCCTTTTTTCTGCAAATAATAAACTTAAGCAAATGTATACTCCAAACCAAATCAAGTCCACCACTAGTAACAATTGATGCAGCACGTGGATCCGTCGTTCCATGGTAAGCAACTGGCCATTCGCCATGAATAGAGCCATTCTCAATTGGGCTAAACAAGTAGTTAACAAAATAAAAAAGGAAAAATCACCGCTCTCCTCCGAGGTCTCCGAGCCAGGCATTGTCCCCATATTTGTCAAGAACATCGAGAGCATAACGCATTGACCCAAGTGGGCGAATGTAATGAGATCCACCACGAGAGAATTGTTGCTGATCGACCAAAATGTTCGTGAAATCGCGATTAAACTTTTCGGCAAAGAATCCCGGGTGCATTTTGTAAGCGCTGCATCTTCCTTGCCGACGTCCCGGCATCATACGACGAGCAGCACCACGAAAGCGAGCTTTCGTACCTTAAGGATAAAAAGTAAACACTTTGCCAGAAAATTGACTGTACAAACAAACTGGGCATTTAATAGCAGCCCTAACTCAGACGTTTTAAACTTCGAATTGTTTTTACCACAAAACATGTTTGTGTACTTGAAAAATTAATCTTACCCTTTTCAACAGTTTTCTGGATCGTATTCACATTGAAAACGAGGTCGCGTGGTTCGACAATCCTTTCAGAATCAGAATCAGAATCAGAATCAGAACCCGAACACGATTACAAATCCGGATCTGAACGGGCGAGATCTCCCCTTGTAAAAGTCCCATTGTTGAGATGACGCATGTGACAGTTGATGCCAGCAAGGAGAGCCTCATCTAAACAAAGAAATTTAGTCAATAGCAAAACATGAAATAAGTTTACCATCGATCGAAAGGGACAACATATTGAAGCCAGTCACCGATTCCGAGAAGGTAGATCCCTGAAAGAAAATCAGTTGAAATTTCTGTTCGATAGCATTCAAAGCATAAAAAAAACAAGTCTGCTAACAATTCAAAGGGTATATTAAGAATATAATTTTACAACTACTTATCTCACACCAACCAAAAACTTTCTCAAACACTTATTTGGATTGCCACCTCCGTATATCCCAATTACTTAAAGATTAATCGAACAATCGTTAAACCATGAAACAACTGATATTGGATACGCTCCTCGATTTCGAGAAGTGGAGCTAACGAACAAGAAACAAATTATGCGAGCTGTAGTAGGACACAAATCAAGATACAAATGTTAAAAAATACGATTCAAACGTCTTCTAGGAGCTATGCATAACGTGCCAACGTTGACACCGTAGTGTTGCTAAGCAATCCGCGCGAATTTCTCTAGAATGACACAAGGGGCAAGTCAACTTCCATAACCCGCGGTGGTCTTCGCTTTTACAACGTTTCCTGCAATTTATAGGCTTATAACTGTCCAAAGTGCACTAGAACTATTTTAAAAAGCTATAGCCCGTCCAACTTTATAAGGAAAGCTTCAATAAAATTGTCTAAGGCGAGCCAAAAATGCGAATGCAACAGATAAATTTGAAAACATTGCTGATTTCGGAATTTGGAGAATGAAATGAAAAATGATTCCCCTTCCGACGAAAATTTCCTGTACAACTCAAAATATTCAATTGAACAATTGCTTCCCGATAAAAAGTTGACCAAATTTATACTTGCAAAATCAACTGAATATTCGAAAAAGCTGTCTATTTAAAAAGCCACGTTTTGGAAAACTTTTAAATTTCTTTTGTTGTGGATTTCTCTGTGCAATGTGTCTGTTTCTAACTGTTAAAACTTTCAAATCTTTATTTTCTTTGAAATGTCGTCTTGGGTCGTCAAACGTCGAACAAAAAAAACTATAAAAATTGAAGGTGAACCCGAAGTTATTGACAGACGCAATTATCCAAAAAGACTAGCACAATTCAAGAGCATATTAAAAACTTACCTGGTAATTCACGGTGAAAGTGTTAGAATTTTCCGGCCATTCAGCGGTCTAAAAATGGTCTCTCAAAACATTTTTTTGAAGTCAAAAACACTTCTTCTGGCATAATTTAATCTATTGATTACGTTTCTGATTAAATTGGAGCAAAATAAAAAGAATTTTTTTCAAATTTCCCCACATGTGTCAAAATCTCAAAAAATATTTTTCAATTTCTTTTGCCTCTACCAATCAATTTAAGTTAGAAAATGAATATTTAGTGGCTAAAAATGATTTTGGCCCTAGCTTTGACCTTGAAAAGTGCCTCAATAATCGATAGCTTGGGCTCCATATAGTTCCATATGGTGAAGTACACTATAGAAGCACGCACTTTGGAGCCTCGAAACTCCGCTAAAAACGCCTTTTCTCAAGCTCTCGTTATGTTCTTCAGAATCTACACATAAAACTACCCCAAATCCCCAAGTAAATTTTATTGATATCTTTATTTAAAGGAGAGTTCAAGCTTTCAAATAATGTATAAGATTTGGTACATTACGAGTGAAATTTGTATGTTATCTGTATATGAAGCATTCAGGTGCCACAATAAAATATCAATAAAATTTACTTGGGAACTTTTTCTTTTCTTTCTAATACTTTTTGTTGCTTTTAATATTGTCTTATTTTTGGGATGGCGATGGACAAACGAATAATTCTCTCCCTCGCGCAAAAGACTCAACTTATCAAGGATAAACGAGGAGGAAAATACATGAATGATGAAATTGAAGCCAAGTACGGATTGAAGAAGAGCGTTTTTTATGCGATTTTGGCACAAAGTGAATCAATATTAGGAAAAGCTTTGACTTCATCGCCAACAATCAAATAAGCAGGTGTAGCGAAGGATGAAACTTTAGAAGAAGCAATTCTATCATGGTTCAAGGCGCAGCGCAGTCGAAATACTCCAATTGGTTTAACAAAATTGGTATGATTGCATCAGCTTAGCGATTAGTTTAAAAAAACACTTCGAGTCAGACAAGCAGCTGAAGAAGACACCCAAGAAATGGGTGAACCTGCCCGAACGAGCCAACAACGTTTCACCTCAACACGTTCACTTTAATTTTTATGAATCTTTTTGCATCTTACTTTTTGTTACCACAATAATTTTAAGAAAATGGCAAGAGAAAACAAGCTTTCTAACTACGAAAAAGGCCAAATCGACACGCTCCATGGTCTTGATGTGAAACGGTCGTTTTTGATGCTCTATGAGTTTTTCTGGCTTGAATCTGCAAAAATCTTAAGTAATTTGTTGAATCTAGGATTTTTTGATGTGCTCTTTTCAATAAAAAAGATTTCGAACAGTAGCATGCTGCTAGTTTAAGAAATTGCGATTTTCTTGGGTGAACATATTGATGTGAAACGCGGTGTACTTTTGTGTCATAGGTAAGGGAAGTATAATTGATCTTGTAATACCCCGTTCTGTTTCTTTTTAGGTGTTCAAAGACGAAATATTATAGCCGAGCCCATCAAAACAACGCAACCGGTATTCCTATGGCAATAAAAAAGCACGACTACTTGCCAACAGAAAGCAAAAAATAGGTAGATGATCAAGGCATTATTGCTTGTGTAATAAATGCGTTTTTAGATTCGAATTGCGCACGAAAATGTTAAATGTCAAGCATAGATGGGTGCCCCGTCAAAGAAGTTGTACGGCAGACAATAACAAGCAGTTCACCCGACGTAACACGACTGCCCAATGTTTCCGGTGTGCGAAAAATGGTGAGGGGGCAGCGAGCAATTCCCGCCTCAAAAATGTGGCCAAGTCCGATGGATGATTAAATTATGCCAGAAGAAGTGTTTTTGACTTCAAAAAAATGTTTTGAGAGACCATTTTTAGACCGCTGAATGGCCGGAAAATTCTAACACTTTCACCGTGAATTACCAGCTAAGTTTTTAATATGCTCTTGAATTCTGCTAGTCCTTTTTGGATAAGTGCGTCTGTCAATAACTTCGGGCTCACCTTCAATTTTTCTAGCTTTTTTTCCTCGACATTTGACGACCCAAGACGACCTTTCAAAGAAAATAAAGATTTGAAAAAGTTTTAACAGTTAGAAACTGACACATTACACGGTGAAATCCACAACAAAAGAAATTTAAAAGTTTTCCAAAACGTGGCTTTTTAAATAGACAGCTTTTTCGAATATTCAGTTGATTTTGCAAGTATAAATTCGGTCAACTTTTTATCGGGAAGCAATTGTTCAATTGAATATTTTGAGTTGTACAGGAAATTTTCGTCGGAAGGGGAATCATTTGTCATTTCATTCTCCAAATTCCGAAATCAGCAAAGTTTTCAAATTTATGTGTTGCATTAGCATTTTTGGCTTGCCTTAGACAATTTCATTGAAGCTTTCCATATAAATTTCGATGGGCCACGACTTTTTAAAATAGTTCGCACTTTGGACAGTTATAAGCCTATAAATTGAAGGGTACCTTGTAATAGCCAAGACCACCGCCGGTTATGGAAGTTGACTTGCTCCTTGTGTCATTCTAGAGAAATTCGCGCGGATTGCTTAGCAACAGAACGATGTCAACGCTGGCACGTTATGAATAGCTCCTAGATGACGTTTGAATCGTATTTTTTAACTTCCGCTTCTTGATTTGTGTCCTACTGCAGCTCACATAATTTGTTTCTCTTTAGTTAGCTCCACTTCTCGAAATCGAGAAGCGCATCCAATATCAGTTGTTTCATAGTTTAACGATTGTTCGATTAATCTTTAAGTAATTGGAATCTACGGAGGTGGCAATCTATATAAGGGTTTGAAAGAGTTTTTAGGTGGTGTGGAAAAAGTATTTGTACAATTATATTCCAAATTCTTAATATATCCTTTGAATTGTTAGCAGACTTATTTTTTTATGCTTTGAATGCTATCGAACAGAAATTTCAACTAATTTTCTTTCAGTGATCTACCTTCTCGAAATCGGTGACTGGTTCCAATATGTCGTCCCTTCCTCTCAATGGTGAACTGATTTCATGTTTTGTTGACTAAATTTCCTTGTTTAGATAAAGCTCTCCTTGCTGGGATTAACTGGCACATGCATTTTCTCAACAATGGGACTTTCGACTCAGATCTCGGTTGGGATTCAGATCTCGGTTCCGATTTCGATTCGGATTCTGGAAGGACTGTCAAACCACGCGACCTCTTTTTCAATGTGAATACGATTCAGAAAACTGTTGAAAAGGGTAAGTTCAATTTTTTAAGTGCACAAACTTTTTTTTGTGATAAAAACAATTCGAAAGTTAAAACCTCTGAGTTAGGGCTGCTATTAAATACCCGATTGGTTTGTACAGCCAATTTTCTGGCAAAGTGTTGACTTTTTATCC